GCTAAATTTTGTATGATCTGTTTGGTAAGGAACACCTTGTTGCTCGCAATCTGATTACTGTGTAGCGGTAAATAAATCCCCAAAATAAATAGCTCTGTAAGTTTTCGACATTGGATACCTGTACCATCTTCAACTGAGTTACTTAACCACAAATCTGTTGAAGAATCAGCCGATGTTTTAACTGACTTTGCAATTAAGCTACGTAATGTGTGTATAGCATTGAAGGAAATGAGGTATATGTCTGATGTGAATTCTACGGCTAACTTGGAAATAATTGTGTCATGTTTACCCCAAGAATTATAAACTAAGTGGATTTAAGTTGCCGGTAAGATCATGACGACCGGAAGGGAGCCGATCTTTGAAGAATTTGTGATCCTTGTAGAAGAAAGAGCCAGGATTGCTCGAACACGTTTTGGTAGATTGGTACATTGTAACTCAGGGTTCAGCAAAAGCAATTATGAAGGCAAAGTTGATAAAAGATCACGTTTTAATGTCGTGAAGCTGGAACCAAGCAACATATTCACGGCTCTTAGTTGCGAAATTTGCTTTGGTGATCACAAAGAGACAGATTGTACGAAGTTATTGGAGATGAATGTTACAGGAAGGAGAAAGGAAGTGAGAAGACGTGGTCTATGCTACGTGTGTTTAAGGAAGGGTCATATAGCCAAGTCATGCAACTCGGATATCAAGTGTGACGTTGGTAATTGCAGGGCTCTGCATAACTCATTGCTACATATTGATGGTATTACCAACCGTGTAGTGAACTTAGTTAGGAATCGGAACTCGTCCAAGGGTTGTTTGGCTATGATTCCGGTCAGGCTGTATGGTACACTATACAAAAGAACGTAGTCTGGCCTAATCGAGTAGATTTTGGTTTGACAGTCTGGCGTTCAAACCGAATACTGGAAGTTCGGTCGCTACAGTGCCTATATTGAAGTTCATGGCTTACATGGCCTGCCATCTATTTGCACCAGCACGTCGTTACATGTATAAAGCAGACATGAAGGTGATGGACGTTGCATCCGAGACTGAAATGTGAGCAATCGGCCTATGTGTATCATTAGGAGGGGCATCACTAATTTCCTGAAGTTATGCAGCCAAGTGACCCAGTAGTATATATCCTGGACCGTTGAAAAACAAGAAATAGTACGACCGTCCCTCCATATACCTGGATGTTGTACGTTTGTCACAAGAAAAGAAGAAGTGTTGGAACATCGCCACCACACAAAACTATCTAATGAGCTATGGAACTTAAACATTATCCAAACGTAAACCCACAACCTCGTTAAACATACTTAATATAAGGAACGTGAATCTTTAGGGTGATAGTATAGTTCTCCATTAGTACACTCAACATCGATACCAGAATGATGGACCTGATCACAAAATTGTGGATTCGCCATCGTGTGACTACCTAATCTACAAGATCTTGCGTCTAAGTCACATCATTTTTCATACTGACTCGTCCTATAGTGGTGATTGGCAACACGATATTTCTCACTTCCAAAGAACACGTTTGGGATGGGAACAGAATAATATATCAGATATGAAAATGAATAGGCTACAAAGTGGTCGCATTTGCATGGCTGAGTCATGTCATTTCTATCCTACGTTCCCGCGTTAACCACTTTTATGACGTTGTAAATCACCAACGTAGATGATCTATGTCAAAGTGATTGGACGCCTACTCGAGTTAGACGTGAATGGTGTGCCAAACTAGCTAACGTCGAAGTCACACCTCGTGGTCAGCGCTTTACGTGGACTACCCCATTGACGTATCAAGGTACCATAGATGCTTTGAAGACTTTACAACACGGAGGACGTTTATACAGAAATATATTAGTTAAAGTAGATACAAGCGAAAGTAAGACTTTCGTGCCTTAAGGTAACCCTCGTGCTATTGATAGAAGAAACCAGAGAAGTAGTGAATAGGTCTTTAATTCGGTCTTCGCGCAGTAACAGTGGAGCGTTGGATTATCTGTTCAGACAAACAAAGGCTCTCAATATTCAATATAAGATATTAGGGAACATAACGCTTATACAAAATAAGGAAGTGAATGAATACTTGAACAATACTGTTTTGGCATATGCTTGGTTGTTTGGGGTCAACTCTTAACCAACCAACCTAAGCTGTTACATTAGCTTCCCCCTAGAATCGACTTCCGTAGGAACTTCGGTTCGATTAACCTATCTATCGAAAACACCTTAGTTCAATTTCTCATGCCAAGGGAAAATTATCAGCTGGCTCACTGTTTTACTTACAATCAGTGACGACTGACGCTGTCAACGATAGTCCATGGATGTCTCTTCATTTACTAGCTTGTCATCTTATTTTGTAGCATGTGATTTCTTCTACAAATATCGCTGACGGTTTGCTGCGTGCTTTCAAGAGAAAGTGTGAGAATGTGGAACAAGAATATCTGAGGAAGTGCCGCGAGCGGGCTACCCAACACCATGTTGGTGAGGTACGATTTTTCTATGCTCAGACCGGCTATCAGGTGTTTACTCACCTGCCTATTGAGTCGCCCTCAAGTAAAAGGTAAAGAAGAATCTACTTCAAAGGTAATGGTGAAAATCAAGCAAACCTGAAGAACTGCTCCCCTGCCTGCTAAAATAATAAGATACAAAATGGAAATACATAAATGTAATTGATAATTGTTCGGTTCCATGTAAGTGCTTGACCTCCAAAACGGATTGGTATTCTGGAAGGAAATAGACATAGTGTAGATATGAAAACAAAAAAAATATACTCTTTTGTAATGCATATATGTACAAGGGTGAACTTGCTAGAAGTTGGAATCTAACAAAATCGATCAAACGCATGACCTTGAGCCTGTGATGACCGCCTTTAACAACTAGGTGCGTAACCAACGGTGGGCACACTATGCGTGTTAGTTTACGGGTTTTCGCGCACAGGTAACATATTGTCGTGGATTTTATGTGTCGTTATTTATCAGCTATTAACAGCCTTTTTTCCATCATACGTGACTTCTCGTAATCTTTGTGAATGGAACATAGTATTTATTTCAATTTATAAGCAGTTTGACGTATTTCGTGCTCACCACCTAAGTAAATATGCCCAAGCTACCAGCTTTGGGGAAATTTTGGGGAAATCCCCAAAGTGAAATAGCCTTCTTCAAAGTTTGGGGAAATTTCGGAGAAATCCCCAAAATGAAATAGTTTTCCCCAAACTTTGGGGAAATTTAGGGGAAATCCCCAAAATTGCCGTAGCGCATTTTTGCACACAAACATTTCATCGACATAATATAAGTAAGCCTCACAGTAGTAAATTTGAATAGAGAAATTTACATTTTAATTCAATATAGACTTTTGATGAGGTATAATCTATCGAATCCCAGGTCTTGTTTTAATACATTAACAATCAGTAGACAAAGAGTTTTAAAGCACTTTTTCAAAATTTCAAGGCCATGCGGGTGAGTGGTTTGCAGTGAAGGTGTGAAAATTTGGTTGCTGTCTATGTTCAGTTTTACTTAAGTGAATTATTTCTTTCAGAATAATAATAGACAGCTCGATAAGATTGCGAAAAGGCGGGCCGCAGGCACGTAATACCCTATGTCGTTTGGCTGTTCCCGATCAACCTATTACAGAAGGTTGAGGAAAATAAAAGCACAGTTTATAAAAAAGTGTCAGTTACCGAGCTGTGACGAAGAGACAGACAATCCAGTTGTTGTCACAAAATCGTGTACTACCGTAGCTACAGAGCAGTGGGCTAATGTTGTCACAGATACAGCTACTGCTTCATGTAGTCACGTCCAGTGTTCAGACAACACAATCAACGGTAGTATCTGTTGAATTATTAAAATCTTATAGGTTGTGTGATTTCAGAAATGTCCCCAGCCATTCATCTTTCGGTGAAAGACGAAATGGTCATTGAAATAATGAAAGGTGGTTATATAAGCATAAAGAAGGCTGATCAATATATTGGACATTTTTCGTGCGCGGTATCCAGAACTTCCAACGTCCGTCCGAAGTGTTCTACGCCGATGCAACGACGTGGAGCCTAAGATCCTAAATTCTGGAACGTATTACCATTTAGGATTAAAATCCAGTCTTTTGAGAATTTCAGGACATTGGCTTCGTCGAATCCGTTTCAACGAATTGCAGTTGCAGTTAAACTACGATGGTCTAAGTTTGTTCAAAAGCTCTAACCAACAGCTGTGGCCGATCCTAGGTCGCATAGTAGCTCCACTAGTTAGTAGTGTTTTCGTAGTTGGGATCTACGGTGGTGAAGTAAAACCATCTGATTTCAACGACATGTCAGCAACACTTATAACAGAGTCACAGGAGTTGCTAACAGTAGGTATTAATATAGATAAGTATCACCTACATTTAACAGTTAAATTAGTGGCGAGACTCTAATTTAGCGACGACCTTTGAACGAATCTTAAATGACCTTGACAATTATTAGCCAATCAGAAGACAGCTAGTACAAAGTGAGAATATATTGTAAGTAAGTAACGAATTACAGTGGATATTCTTCTTTTACATGATTTAAAAACTTGCTAAGGTTTGATGAAGGTTCAGAGCCTCTCAATTCATAATGCATATTGTATAGAAACTCGTCCATAGCGTTAGTGGTTAGGGTTGTAGCCTGTCAATAGACATCTCATCTCTAAAATCCGATGTAAACCGATCGCATGTTAGCACCCTAATCTAACCCAAACCCTAACCTAACCCTAACCTTAACCCTAACCAAAAACCCTAACCTTAGCCCCCTAAACCCTAATCTAACCCTAACCTTAACCTTAAAATAACCCTAAACACTAACCTTAGCCCTAAACCCTAACCTAAACCTAACCTTAGCCCTAAACCTTAATCTAACTCTAACCTAAACCCTAATCTAACCCTAACCTTAGCTCTAAACCCTAAACTAACCCTAACCAAAAACCTTAACCTAACCCTAAACCCTAATCTAACCCTAACCCTAACCTAACCCCAAACCCTAATCTAACCCAAAAGCCCTAACCTTAGCCCTAAACCCTAATCTAACCCTAACCTTAACCCCCAACCCTATGGACGAGTTTCTATACAATATGCATTATGAATTCAGAACTTCTGAGCCTTTATCAAACCTCAACCAGTTTTTAACTCATGTAAAAGAAGAATATCCACTGTAATTCATTACTTTCTTGTAATATATTTTTACTTTATACTGTCTTCTGATTGGCTAATAATTGAAATTGCTCAAACGCTTCTCACTGGCTCGTCCCTAAATTAGAGTTTCGCCGTTCCATCTGTTTTTACCTCTCATTAATCACCTCCTCTCTAAAATCCGCTGTGAACCGACCGTATGTTGGCATCGCGTGTTGAACTTGGCTCCGTGACCTTGAGATTGCTCAAACGCTTCTGATTGGCTCGTCGCTAAATTAGAGTCTCGCCAAATTAGTTGCTGTTATTTGTGACGCTCCAGCTCGCAGCAACGTCAAGTACATTGTGGGACACAATGGTTTCGCTGGCTGTGACAAATGTCAGGTTTTAGGGACGCGAATGGGTGGTCGAATGACTTTCCCCAATGGTGAACACGACTTAAGAAATGATGTCACTTTTCGTAGTAGGTCCCAATCTATCCATCATCGTGGTACAAGTTCATTTGAAAATCTGCCAATGGATATGATTAAACGTTTCCCCTTTGAACCCATGCATATGATTTACTTAGGTGTTACCAAAAAACTTGTTTCGTTATGGAAGGAGCTAGCTATTAAGCGACTTAATGGGATGGATCAATCAATCATCGCATCAATAAACGATGCTCTAGACTCATGTAGACAACACACTACATACGATTTTAAACGGAAATGTCGTTCACTTAATGAAGTTTCTGTATGGAAAGCAACTGAATGTCGGTTGTTCTTATTATATTTAGGACCTGTAGTTCTTCATAATAGGTTACCACTATCAATGTACAGAAACTTCCAGTCACTCTCCTTGTCTATTTATTTATTATCGCACCCTAAGTTTCATAGCACTTACACTTTGCACGGAACCAGAAGAAAATTCGGGATTAGTAAATACAAATTTTACTCCACGGTTCAAAGTAAGTCCACATTACTGTATCAACATATTTGTAGGTGCTTTGTGTTCACACTTCCGGAGTGCGACCTGTTCGGAAAAGGAAATCACGAACGCCATGGCTACAGCAAGCCAGGCCTTCTTGCATGACGCAAGAGATAAAGTACATAAACATGGATGGCGATCCAAAGAAAGGGTGAGCTAAAACTACTTAATATGTTTGTTATAATACATATGTTAACTTTGTCACACATTGTTCCTACTCGTTCCCCTTCCTACTGTTTTGTATATTGTTTAATACCACTTAATGAAATGCATTATTCAGTTGTATTCCGAATAACTGAAGTTCACTTTAGGGATTTCCACTAAATTCATAGGATGTTAATCAGCATTGTATTTATCACTATAATCACTGTATTTTAATTACTGTAACAGCTTATTACTTTGTGATCAATACTGAAAGTGATATAACTTGTCTCTTGTATGTTTCCCTTTCAGCTGGCTTCGCAGGCATTATCAGACGTTACTGTAAGTTCTTTGTTCGCATTATTAAGAACATTGTTATACTGTTGGTACATCACCAACCTTTCACATATCTTGACACGTTATTATACACTAAAAATGATTTATTTATTTATTTTTTAGAACATTATCAATGACAGTTCTACGTCTACGTAAGGTGTTGCTGTTACAACGCATAGAAAAACTCTTTATAAATGATTCATTTGTAATTTCGTTAACTGTAATAAACATTTATATATTTCATAAATCAGTCTTTTCATAATCGCGATCAATCTGTTAACATTAGGTTTCATTAGCAATGCGCGATTGACGAAAAGTAATTAAACATCGCAGTAAGAAATGTACGTAAGCATTCTCCCTAGGTCTTCCGTTATGTCGATAGGCTTTCGTGAAGCTTTTGCGTTAAAACAGTTTTCCAGGAAAACCCAAAGGTTTAGGGAAGCTTCCCCCAAATCATATAGCTATCGTGTTCGTTTCCCTTTCACCTGGCTTCGCAGGCTTTAACAGACGTAACCATAATTTATTTGTTCTTTTGTATATTATTTTATACTACTTACGAAAATTCAGTAGTCAGTTGTATTCCCAATAACTGAAATTCACTTTGGGGATTTCCCCAAAGTTACCCAGAATTTCGCCAAAGTCACCCGAAATTTCCACAAAGTTACCCAGGTCTGGGGAAATTTTGGGTTTTTTTCTCATTTCCCCAAAATTTATTATAGCGGCTTCCCCAAAATGGACTCAATTTTCCCCAAAGTTGGGAGCCTGGGTGTAGTTGGCGTAATATGGTTATTTTTAGCAATAAAAAGTCAAACAAGTCAAATCACCATTTTTCTAGTCAAAAATAGATTACAGATTGACTTTTCATGAAAATAAGCCGTGAAAAACATTATATATGGTTCACCTCCTTGATTATGGTGACGGCAAACATAGATGTTCGCAGTCATTTATAAAATGTAATTAGAAAGAAGTAAGCATTAAACTAACTATGAATATTATATAAATTGTTTGTATTTAGCCATAAAAGGTTATTTGCACTAAAGATAGCATTGTTTTGTACTGAAGTGACATATTATTGTGTAATGTATCAGTAAAAAATTATGTGAGTAACAATTGACGTTGATAGTCTTTTTTACGGCTTTCTGAACGTATACAGAAACAGTGTATAACACCACATTAAATAGGCACAAAATCTTCATAAGTAAAACGATGGGTGTCTCTTCTGAGCATGGTGACAAAACCATGTCGTACTTAATACTGATTTATGATGTGTCTGTTATAGGGTTGACGAATAATTTTCTGTAAACGAAATGCACAATCGCAGACGAAAATGTGAACAAAATTATGATGCATATTGTCGAGTAATACCTAAATGGTACTTACCAATTTCTCTTGCTAATACCAGATGTATAGACGAAATACTACAAGGGTTAGACACTGAATAAATTCCCAGTGCTTGTTACGACACAGACTTGAATAAAAAAGCAACTATTAATGAGTTAATTCATGGATTCCTACTGCATTACAGACTGACTCGTCCGAAGTTCCTTGTATTCATATCTCCTTCATGCCACATTAATTAATTACATTTTCTTCATAAGTCAGACCACGCTTCTATGTTGTGACGAAACTGATTTCAGCAATTTTTAAATAACACTGATTTGTGTGTTGTAAAGATTACCTATTAATTTTTATTAAAGTAAATAGAAATCTCTAATGATTAGCGCTGTCTGCAAATAGGAGACTTATAGGTACATTCTGTAACCTGCTATTTGATTGACTTATTGGATGTGATACTGATAACTAGGTCTAATTCTTTATTTCACTACTGATTTGTTTGTTTTTCAGAATTGTATGAATCCAATAAAGTCGTCAAAGCTTTGTGATGATGTTTACGCCCGTCTACAACTTATAGAATTTGTGATTATGGAAGACCATGTTAAAAACCGGTTTACAAGTTCACGTTAATTGTGTTCCGTATTGCCTAGTAACATTTTTATTCAACTAATGAATTAGTGAAATATAAATATAGCAACTACACTCAGTGTCTTACTTTATAAACCGTGTCCGTATTTATTAATAGTCGATATGACGCTAGAACAAATATAGATAGAGAATAATATGAACTCCTTATAATCCATGGAATGAACAAGTAATAAGATGGATTATGTAATAATTCATTTCACTTTTAAAATTTAGTTACCGATTTATTCCAGCACCCTGTCACTTAATCCTCTGTAATTATGTGACCTCTGCAAATTGTAATCAATTATTACGTAACCCAAGTTTTCAGTTCTTAAATCCACGGATCATTTACAAGCTATAAGATTTTCACACCACTTATCTGTCTGTGAACTCCAGTCCACTATTACACCATCCATTCTTAATGTGTTATTGACTGTATAAAAAAATGACCTTTGACCTTAAACTGCACATAAATATATATATACCTAGTCATTATTGATAACCTACTTCATTTCAATTATTCATAGTCAGGTATGTCAACTGTTTCCCACATCACTGTTAAATCCTAATGCATATTTAGTTATAATGAATGCATACCACTGTTAATCAACATTTCTCCTGGTTTCATTTTAATTCATAAGCGGAACTAATCACATGAAATTAAAATCTACTTAGCTACTGATACGATTTTAATGATAAACGTAATCCGACGAAGGTGAATATGATATGCGGGTGCCTAATCTGCAAGACTGTACGTGGATGTAGGGTTTCTTAATCATTCTTAATTATTACAAACAGTTACACATGAACATCATTGCTATTCATTCCCATGAAACTAGGAATAAGATGAAAATTAAAATTATGAAAGTTTATTGAATAATCATTGCTGCTAAAGCAGAAAATCAAGTTTACAAGTTGGTATTAAGAATTCTTAAGTAATAATTTTCCACTTTCTTCTCAACTTCCGTTGCGAAACGTTCACCATACTTCTCAATAATGCGATGCTTATGGATTCTTTGGCTTCGTTGAATACTTATATACACTTCACTCCGTCGTGGTAATGCAGTTAATGTATAACAATTTAGATCGTGCGAATGGGGTCAAAATGTTTAGCAGAGGTATAAGACGCTGTGGAGCATCATATTTATAAGATCTTCCGGCTATCACTTGATCTTCGATACTTCTTCTAGTTGACGTCCTTTCACTCCATTTTAAAGCCTTGTACATAAATTTGTACAGACTATCACTTTTTCGTACGTATCGTTTAATTTGCCTATTTGGCGATTCAACACAATTATTCGTGCTGTTACCCAATGTTAAAACATGACCGTAAAAGGCACGCGCCCACATTGTCTTACGTGCCATCCAAAAACGTGACAGGTACTGACCTATCAATCTGTCCCGCCGATTTATTATTCTGTAATATTGATTAAATCTAGTGAATAAACACATTACAAAAATTACCTTCCAACCGTCTCCGCAGTTACCAATCGAGTTAAGTAGGTTTTCATTATTTTGTCGTTTGTCTAAGGGCAATTTTATATAAGTAACCATTGGTGTACCTTTTTTCGGAAAGCGCGAATTACATGAAAGGCGCACAAAATTATGTTTGCATGTCCGTGTGTTATACAGACAGCCGCGCTTTCACATCGTGCGCAATCCATCACAAATGTTTCAGTCAACATTGTGTCACCCATTATCTCTTTGAATTGATCTAAAATCCATATCACATCAGCACGCTTTTCCCTTCGAGTCCACGCAAACATTACAGTTCGACCTCGACCGCAATTATCCGTCACCACTAACTGGAATAAGGAATATCTACATAGTAAAATACAACGATAAACATATTCACTTTTTATTATTAGTATTATACGTAGAATCAATGCACACAACTTCTGGATATTTTCTGTACAGTTGTATTTGGCTATAACTACTGAAACATATTCTAGTGGCATATCCATTTTCTAAATGTTCCTTCAATTCGCCTTTCTGTATAAGCATATCCATTACCTGGTTCCGAGTAAAACAACCTGAAATATATACACTTACCAGCTTTCATACCTTTGACATCGACAGCAGTTACTTGCTTACCGGTTCTCTCCTTAATGCCTTCGATAACTTCGTCTGCTGACTCACAGTGAAGTATTACGGGCTTCAAGTTCTCTTTTTCTTCTGACGATAATCTCCTTGTCCATGGATCACATACCATCCATGAACTACTACATGGATGATTGTGGAGCATGTTGTAGGATTTGATGACATATCCTTGCTCCCCTAGTCTTACACGGAATTTAGATTGACAATTACGGAATTTAGACCTTAAACATAAGATATTAGTTAAAGATCTTACGATTTTTGCCTCACTTTCAAACCTTCCGATTTCCGTTTATGACCAAACGTACAATTAAACGATACAAACAGGTATTTGAACCTGACATCCTTCAGCAGTCTGCTTTCTGTGTGGATGTAACGAGTATAAGTAGTCTGAGAAGCGATAAAATTATAATTCCATACTTTTTGAAACTCTTTTAAGGCGCTTTCAAAATCATCCCACAACACGAAACGCTTGTTCAGTATCATACTTCGAAAGGCATCGGTTAGGTCGACGGAAATTTCACTTGAGCATGAAGCACTAAAAACAGACATGACTAATTATTAAAAAGTTATTCCTTGCAGCAATAATAACCCAAGGAAATACTACAAATACTTAGGAATTACCTGTGACTTGACATTTCGTTGAGCTTTACTACAGTTGTTGGGATCAAAGATCAAATTACAAAGCAACAACAGAGCCAAAGTGTACACTACAAAACAGAGAACGCTAAATTAATGGTTTTGGTATTTATTTCGTGCTTTTTTATGTAGCATAAGATGACTTATATATGAAAAAACTTGATACTCATGCAATCCAACTAACCCACGGCAATTGAAATACGGAATGACCGCCTCTAGTCAAGCCGTTCAAGGTCGTTGAAACGAAAGGGCGGGTACATTTCAAAAGGACCTAACGTTTAAACCTTGCCCCAAGGGTGCATCAGAGTATTCCACAAAACGGAAAAGAATATACGGTTAAAAAGCAAAAAAAATTGTGTAGAGTATGCGGATCAAGTACAGTTGTGTCAAGTACCCTTTTCTGGTTTGATTTAGGTATGCATGATATATCGAAGCAATATTTCGTCAATTCATCCAAGTAACGAATTGGTTTGCATCTCAGAAGTGTGTAAGTCCTATTACTCATTAGTATTATGAGTGATTAATTGGTGTAAGGAAATACTGAAGTCACTTCCTCCGTGGTCTGACGTGGCTTAACGGCTAAGCACACGGTCTAGCATTCAGGAGGGCGTGTGGGGCCTGCGTTTTTGTTCACCAGACCCACCTTCAATACGATGTTTGTTGCCCGTAAGTCACTCACATATGAGAAAAAATGACAAGAGGACAGACTGATATATCAAAGTGCCATATTGGAAAAGTATAAGTTTTTTGTTTTCATTAATATTATTACTATAGAAGAAAAACTACAAGTTTAGTAAATTTCCATTTTACGTTATATTTAAGCCAACGAATATATATATATATATATCAGTTATTGACATAAAATGTCTTTTTATTAGGCTAATGTTAAGTTCCAGAACTTTGTATGGGCCACTAATAATAATTGGTTAACGTTAACATAGTCATGATAGTCGTATCGTCAGTTCAATGTCATGATTACTAAACAGTTCCCTTATAAGTTGTGTTTAAAATTAGGTATGTGGAATCAATGCGGCTAACATAGTAACCTTACAGTAACGCACTGTACTATATCTTCACGGTTATTGATTCTTAAATGTCAGGAATTTAAAAAAATCTGAATATTGCCAATAAAGATGGGTTATATGATCACACTAAAAAGCATGCTGCAGGAAAACTGGTTAAGTAATTACGTAAGTTTCCTAAACATGAAAAAAAATGATGAGAACTTTAATAAGTACTTGACCATGGTTTAATCCAAAATGTTTGTCTAGAAAACTACTTATTAATAGTAGTATTAATCGTATCAAGCTACTAAACATATCCTCAACCGAAAACTTTTAGAAGTAGTTCATATGGTATATATGTATAGCCAGTCTACGTGAAAAATGTATATAAATATATAAGAAGTACAGCCAACATAGGTAATTAACCAGAAAAAGAAATTATAAAACTCGCCTGGGTTGCTTTTTGAATTCGTTGTATTTGCCAGTGTTAGTTGTATGAGTTTGATTAAAATCCTCAGCCATCGTTTCGGAATACCTAGCTTATGTGTCCAGTATTTAAAAAAATTTAACATAACACTTATATATCAAAGGTAAAAGGTCTGGGGAGTTGTCGGTGAGGCGGAATGAGGAAAAAATATTTTTAAGTAGATGCAGGGTCTGATTAGCTACGTGGTTAGATTTTATCCTGCAGCCGAAACTGTCAACATCCTTGACTGACTAATTGGATGTGCCCAGCGAACCGTTTTAGTCATTTGTAAAGATTCATCATCTTTGCATTTCGATTCCGTAATGGATTTGTCAGTTAAACGATCTAACAACACGTATGGTGGTTCATGATCTAGATAAGCCGGCTTTAGCCTATCAATACTTACTGTGTCGATGTTTCCATGTTTTTCTATCACGAAATATTTAGATTTTCTTGAGACGACTTTGAAAGGACCTTCAAATGGAGGACTGAGTGGTGCTTTTATTTTGTCACATCTTATCCAGACGTGCGTGCAATTGCTTAGGTCTTTAGGTATATATACGGCGCGCGATTGTTCACGAGTATTAATCGGCTTAAGTTTAGACATGTGGTCCCGTAGTTGATCTACATAATTTTCTAAATTAAGGTTTTTACTGTTAGTATTAAGGTTAACAAATTCACCGGGTAGTCTCAGAGTTGTTCCGAAAACCATTTCCGCAGCTGATCACTGTGAGTCAGTTTTGACAGATGTTCGTATTTCCAACATAACTAATGGTAGGAATTCTGCCCACTGATTGGGGTTCGAGTGAGATATAAGGGCGGTTTTTAGCTGACGGTGAAAACGTTCTACCATCCCATTAGCCTGAGGATGATATGCAGTGCAGCGTATCCTATTGGAGCCTAGAAGTTTAGCCAAGTTATTAAATAGTTCGGATTCGAATTGCGCTCCTCTATCAGTCGTTATTGTTATGGGTGTACCAAAAATGGTTACCCAGTTCTGCATGAAAACCTTGGCTACTGTTTCCTCTGTGATATCCGCTATCGAGATGGCTATAGGGAATCTGGTAAATCGATCTATGCATGTAAAAAGATAATTAAAACCGTTTGAACGTGGTAAAGGACCTACCAAGTCGATATGCAAATGGGCAAAACGTGCATCTGGTTGCGAGAAAACACCTATGGGTGAATTTGTGTGACCATTAATCTTTGATTGTTGACATGCTGAACACTCTAACCCATTTGTGTACATCCTTCTGTAAATTCGGCCATATATATCTGGCATTGATTAGTTTTGTTGAAGCTTTTGCGCCAGGATGAGACAAAGAATGAAAGTTATTATATATCAACTTTCGCATACTTTTGGGAACGAAAGGTCGCGGCATTGCCTTGGTCGTGTCACAATAGATTAGAATACCATCGACAGGTGATGGGAACTGTTTTAAATTAAGACTTGAATTGTTTGTTTTAAGCAGGTTTTGTAATTCTAGATCCTGCTCTTGTTCGTTTCTCAACGTCTCGAAGTTTACTGTGGACTGTTGTAGCACGTTCATTTCTAGCCTAGATAAAGCATCTGCCGCCTGATTGTCCTGACCTTTGACATGTCGGATATCGCTTGTGAACTGTGATATATAATCAAGGTGTCGGACTTCTCGAGGTGAGTATTTATCAGCTCTCGCTTTCAGCGCATTCGTTAGTGGTTTGTGATCCGTAAAGACTATAAATTCCCTGCCTTCTAACATGTGTCGGAAGTGTTTAATGGTTAGGTAGGTTGCAAGGAGTTCTCGCCCGAAGGTAGAGTACCTTGTCTCTGCTGGAGCGAGTCTTTTTGAGAAGAAAGCAATTGGTTTCCAGGCGTTATTAACCAGTTGGTTAAGGGTACCGCCTACTGCTTTATCTGAAGCATCCACCATCAAAGCAAGTGGGGAAAGAGAATTCGGATATATCAACGTAGTTGCTTGAGCCAGTTTATCTTTAAGCTGTTTAATAGCTTCGATGGCGTCAGAAGACAGTTTGAATTCTTTTGGTTTTCCTTTGAGTGAATCTGTCAAAGGTTGCATTAATTGTGCACAACCTGGTATGAATCTGCGGTAAAAGTTAATTAGACCTAGAAAACTTCTCAGTTGTGTTAGAGAACTAGGTATGGGGTATTGTTTGATGCTGTCTACTTCTTTTTTGATCGGTTTAATCCCTTCTGGGCTTATTGTGTGACCGAGAAATTCTAAAGTTTGAACACCGAAAACACACTTACTTTGATGTATGTTTATTCCATGTTCATCCAGTCTTTTCAACACTGTTTGTGTGATTGCAAATCGGGGCTGGCAATTAACAAGTCGTCTATATACCCCTGCGCAAATGGCACATCTCGAAGTAGGTTGTCTATGAATCTTTGAAATGTCTGTGCCGCATTTCTCAGGCCGAATGGCATGCGTACAAACTCGAATAAGCCAAAGGGTGTTGTAATAGCTGTCTTGGTAATGTCTTCATCAGCCACTGGGATATTGTGATATGCCCTGACTAAGTCAATTTTAGTGAATATGTTCATACCCTGTAAACCGTTTGTGAAATCTTGGATATACGGTATTGGGTACCTATCTGGTACGGTTTGACGGTTGAGGGCTCTGTAATCCCCGCACGGTCGCCAGTCACCTTCATTCTTCTTTGGGACCATATGCAAAGGGGATGCCCATTGACTATCAGAGGGACGGATAATACTCAGTTGTAGCATATAATCAAACTCGGCCCTAGCGATTTTGAGCTTTATCTGGTGCTAGTCTCCTGGGTTTTGCAAAAACCGGTGCACCTTCAGTTTTGATAGTGTGATTTACTTCTAGTTTGTCTTTGGAAGGCTGTGGGTTTGGTTAAGTTTGGAAATTCCGCGAGTATATCTTGGAATTTCGCTGTTGTTACTGGAGGAGTTTGAATCAAGTTAAGAGAGCTGATGTGACTTTCTTTGCCTTTTGTGTAATACGAAGTTTCTTTTAGTGTTAATCGCCGTTTCTTAGTGTCAACTAGAAATTCGTATCTCTCTAGAAAGTCCATCCTCAGTATTGCCAGATCTAAGTCGGCTACCGTGAAAACCCAAGGGAATTGCCTCCTGAACCCCAAATCTAGGGTTAAATTTTTCTGCCCAAATGTCGCAATTTTAGTTTTATTTGCAGCTTGAAGTGTAATTGATGATGTTTCTCGACTAATCTCAGTTTTATTTTGAGGGGTGATGCTAAGAGCAGCGCCAGTATCCACCAAGAAGTTCAAGCCAGAGTTTCTGTCTCTAACATAAAACAAGCGACTGTTTAGGCGCCCCTCCTCAGTCGTCGCGACCTGGGGAGGGGTTACTCGTTTCCCGCTGTCTTAGAATTATGCTTAGGCTAGGCGCATGGTTGCATGCACTTGGTTGAGTTGACACCAAAATTCCAGTGGTACCAACAAATCTGCTCAGATTGTCTGGACATTTGTGACTTGGATCGTGGTCGTTGAGGTGACCTGCTACTGCTTGTATGACCCATTTGCATTCTGGTGACAGCCTCAGTGA